AAAATGCGACAATGAGATGTGTACAATAATTCCTATATTCTATGAACATATTTGCATCTTCACATTAATATTGTAGGTACTTCTAATAAATTAATTACGCAGGCTAACGTGGATCTGGAAAATTAGATTAAAGTTATTATTTCCAACATATAGGTATCTTGCGACGCTGATCCCAAAACTAGCTAGTCTAAATTTTGAATATCCTAACCTCAAACAATACTAAAACAATTTTTGACCATTTTGCAAGCATTACTACGCGAAGACAAAATAATCAGGAGAGTAGTTATTTCCAAGTTTTAAGATAGATACAGAATCCTGCTTTAAATTTGCCTTGACACATTAAGATCTGGATGCAACTTAACTTAAAAATTCAAATGATGCTAATTTAAGTTATTTGCTTTTGAGGTTAGGATATCTCAAAATTTCAATGTGCTAGAGCTTCTCTGATACAACATCTGAGTGCGTTATCGAAGTATATAAATGTAAAAATAATAACGTTCTTTTCTAGTTCCTTTTTTAGTTCTCCATAGTAGAAAAAGTCGAAAAAGAGCGTATTGCAATTATCTACGGGTTAGAAAGAAGAAACCACAAGTAGGGTACTCATTTTCGATATATTTTTGGATGGCGAACTCACACCTGTCTTCAAAATTGCCCTAAGATATTCTAGACAAAAATTTTCAGTCTCTCTCCAGTCTCTTAGAGTCATTCAGGGTCTTTCAGCTTTTCTGTTATTGGCTAGGTGTTTTATGGATCTGTCACAGTCTCTGTATGAGAGACTCGAACGATAAAATTGTTAATTCAGAGATTCGAATCTCTCACAGAGAGACTGAATTAATCAAACTAAAAAGTCTCTTGTAGAAAGACTGGGTCTCTGAAATATTTTGAACTTAGAAAATTTTAACCATGTCTATCGAGGCACCACTTGTTGAGAGATTCGAGTCTCTTGTTCAGAGATTCGAGTCTCTCGTTCAGAGACTGGATACGAAATGAGGATCTCTAGTCTCTCGTTCAGAGACGCTAAACAGTTTTTTTTACAGTCTCTCGACAGTCTCTCTCAGCGACACCAAAGAGATTCGATGAGAGACGGAGACTCGAGTCTCGCTTTCAGAGACTGAACAATTTTATCTCGGGATACCTACTGAAATTTCTAGATATCCTAATTTCAAATCCAAATGCCGACTAGTTTGAATCAAAAATCTCACATCACGAAAGAAATGAGCAATAAAAATTATATGACTATAGACTATAAAAAAATGTAAAATATTCTGCTGTTTTACTATTATTTGTATGAACTGATATATTGTCCGTAAATATCAAAAATAGTTATTTTCTGTAGATCTTTCTCATGTTAAATACCTAGTTATAGTATTTTTATCAAAGTACATTATCGTGAAGCTGTAAGGGCGTCAATACTTGCTTCGAATCGGCAACTTAAGACCTCAAAGCACTTTGAAAATGAGGAAGTATATACCATATGTATATATAATTTATATCCTTAAAAATTGATTACCTATACATACCTACAGTTAATTTTGATTATTTTTTAGGTAACATGGTACAAGACTTCCGATGGTCTTCAACTCACTTATAGAAACGTCAATCTTATCAATGACAGACGTTTTTCAGTTCAGGGTCCAGAAATAATAACGGTAAGCAAACTTTCTTCGGGAAAGAGCAGGAATATTCAATGCCCCATGCCCGTATTTTCAATGCTAATATTTCGTCCAACTATTTTGATATGGTAATGTATCCAATTCCTTTTGATAATTTTTTAGTTGGGCATCATACAGGGTGTTTCTGAAACAATTTCCGAGTATGCAGGAGGTGATAGGGCACTATAAAATAAGAAAATTTCCGAGAAAAATGTGTGAAAATACAGCCATAGATCAGTCCCGTTCTGGTAAATCACATAGAGAAATACGACAACGCAACGTCGCATTCAATGAGTTGTCGATTAGCAGTATCTGTCACTGTCACCGAGTCAGTATATCACAGTAGAACAGTAATTTAATTTTGTTGGACAAGTTCAAGTTTATAAAATAAAATAACCTGTTATTTCGGCAATGAAACCCAAACCTTAATAGACGGTAAAGACGTCGTAGATAATAATCAATAAAAAAGTTGTGTCAGGCCTCTCATTGGGTTCTATTAGCGAAATCAGAGGTTATTTTATTTCAGAAACTGTTGTTACTGTCACCGATGTCATCTCTTCTCTCAAGCCCAGTGGCTGGTTTGTTGTTATCTAGTATCTGGAAGGAGAAGAGAATGGAAGTCTACAAATAGAATTTAATAAAAGACAATACCCACAGTAGTACACCTGAAATAGCACCGAACGTTGGTTCCTTTAATGTGACAGCAAATGTAAGCTTTGCAGCCAACCGATTTTCAGCCGCGAGTTTATTTATGTCGGTGGTTATGCAGATGTCATTCTTCTCTACTTGGACGAGTATTGCTTTACGAGAAACGAAATTTTGATTTTTCAAAATAATCACTATTTGTAGAACAAACCCATATGTCGTGTATCTAACTTCGCTGAATTTCTTAGTGTGAGATTGTATGAAACAGGGCGTGTATCAAACGCTGGTGCATGTAGGAGGTATTTAGATTATTCACGAAGAATATTCAAATGATAACACTATTACTCATGTATGAATGGTAAGTAATGATAAGTCCGAGATGACACATCTGTAAAATAAACAAAAAGAAATATATGAACAACCAATTCAACCACCAATAAATTAATATAACGAAACGAATAAATACATAATAGTTTATAATTTATATTACAATCTTTTCCGGATCATAGGTATTAAGGGTCAACTCGCATCATACCCGATCACCAAAGCATTAAGGGTCAACTCGCATAGTGCTCAACAAAAATTGAAATATCATCATAAAAACTCATAATAATTAATGTAAATCAATTACAATTTATTAACCAAGTGAAATTGGTCACCCAGTGAAGTAACTCACCTTTAAGGTGTATTGAAAACAACAAAAACTAACACTTTCACAAAACAGTTGAATAATATTGTTGAACTGATTTTTATATTTTTCACTATCGACGACTTACGGAAGACTGCCTGTATAAAAGAGTTCTTGCCATCAGGAACCGTGCCTGTGGTTATTTAAGGGTCGCTTGTTCTAGGCGTTATCGCGCCGTTCATATAAACAAAGTCTAAAGAATTTGGACGAGGGTAGACGCATAAATTGTAACATGTGAAGACTGCTTCATAATGTGTTAGCATTAACAGAAAAATTCGTTTTACGAAAATAGTATACTTCTTACATGCACAATGCTAATAATATGCAAGACAGTGTAATGATCGCTGCAAATGAAATTCGCCTAATGCCTTACGTTTTTTGGGCGAATGTGACATAATTTTGGTAGACTTCTCGAATTCTGTCTTCTAGTGGAAGTGTACGTATGTGTGTATGTCTGTCAGTATTCCCGGAGTCAATAACTGGTCGATATATAAGCGACAAGTTGTTTATGTTTACTATATATGTGTTGGACAACCGATATTGTTTGGTTTACATTCGACCGATATGTATAAAGCTGCTCAGTTCTTATTGCAATTCGTTGGATTCAAAAATGTAAATGTACTACACCTACGACGCCAAATCGCGTCAAGGACCGGCTGTGAATTTTAACTTATGTTTTTTTCCACTTGTAACCACGCTGCTGTACTCACCATATTACATACATTTTGTTGACGCTCTCCAAAGGTCAGCACTTATTTCAGAAACACCTTGTATCTACTGTATAGCCAAAAGCTGAAATGTAGGCTCTCTGCGGAACCGCTAATCAAGTCGAGGTTTGACTATCGCCTTTAGGTAAACCTTGAAATACATTCAGTAAAGGTCTANTAGGATACTCTACTATGATCAATTTCTGATCAGATGGTTGGATCAACAGATAGAGTACTGTGCGTTGATCAATTTCTGATGATGACCAGATCAAGGAATGGAGTACTGTACTCTGATCAGAAATTGGTCAGATGCCCGTTTTACAGAAGATCTGATCCGCATCTGATCATAATCCGGGTTCTCTCAACTAATTTCCAGTCGGGAAGAGAAACATCTCTGAGAAATAGAGAAAAACCGCCCCTGAACCACTGAATCCTATTAACGGCGAGTTGATGATACTGACGTTATTTATTAATAATGTTGTGTATTTGCTTTTTCTGGCATGGCACCGGCAATTCATAATGAAAATTTAATTACCACAAAAAAAAAACATCTTGAATGGAAAAAGCAGAAAGGAAATTGTCTTTTTGGGGATTGTTGTTGTGTCCTTTATGTGACTGTTGACGTTTCGCCATGATTAGCAGAAGACATTTTCATTACATTTTGCATCATAGTGAGCAGCTGAATGCAGTTTAGTACAAAAAGTCACAATACTATACCTAAATCCTCAACATGCTTCACTAATACGTTTATTTTAAAGATAAACGGAATTTAAACGCTAAGTTTCGAAAATTGTTTCAATCGAAAGCTAGAGGCGGATCACGATTTCGATTAACACTTGTTCTTTTAACAGTCTAATGATAAAATCACTTAAATGAAGCCACTTTGCGGTGAAGCAACTGTTGTGTACGTATATACATATATACATACATACATACATACATACATACATACATACATACATACATACATACATACATACATACATACATACATACATACATACATACATACATACATACATACATACATACATACATACATACATACATACATACATACATACATACATACATACATACATACATACATACATACATACATACATACATACATACATACATACATACATACATACATACATACATACATACATACATACATACATACATACATACATACATACATACATACATACATACATACATACATACATACATACATACATACATACATACATACATACATACATACATACATACATACATACATACATACATACATACATACATACATACATACATACATACATACATACATACATACATACATACATACATACATACATACATACATACATACATACATACATACATACATACATACATACATACATACATACATACATACATACATACATACATACATACATACATACATACATACATACATACATACATACATACATACATACATACATACATACATACATACATACATACATACATACATACATACATACATACATACATACATACATACATACATACATACATACATACATACATACATACATACATACATACATACATACATACATACATACATACATACATACATACATACATACATACATACATACATACATACATACATACATACATACATACATACATACATACATACATACATACATACATACATACATACATACATACATACATACATACATACATACATACATACATACATACATACATACATACATACATACATACATACATACATACATACATACATACATACATACATACATACATACATACATACATACATACATACATACATACATACATACATACATACATACATACATACATACATACATACATACATACATACATACATACATACATACATACATACATACATACATACATACATACATACATACATACATACATACATACATACATACATACATACATACATACATACATACATACATACATACATACATACATACATACATACATACATACATACATACATACATACATACATACATACATACATACATACATACATACATACATACATACATACATACATACATACATACATACATACATACATACATACATACATACATACATACATACATACATACATACATACATACATACATACATACATACATACATACATACATACATACATACATACATACATACATACATACATACATACATACATACATACATACATACATACATACATACATACATACATACATACATACATACATACATACATACATACATACATACATACATACATACATACATACATACATACATACATACATACATACATACATACATACATACATACATACATACATACATACATACATACATACATACATACATACATACATACATACATACATACATACATACATACATACATACATACATACATACATACATACATACATACATACATACATACATACATACATACATACATACATACATACATACATACATACATACATACATACATACATACATACATACATACATACATACATACATACATACATACATACATACATACATACATACATACATACATACATACATACATACATACATACATACATACATACATACATACATACATACATACATACATACATACATACATACATACATACATACATACATACATACATACATACATACATACATACATACATACATACATACATACATACATACATACATACATACATACATACATACATACATACATACATACATACATACATACATACATACATACATACATACATACATACATACATACATACATACATACATACATACATACATACATACATACATACATACATACATACATACATACATACATACATACATACATACATACA